TGCCGCCACCGCCTCGCAGCTGACCGTCGACGGCTCCATGAAGGGCGCCGACTGGCGCGCGGGCCGCGCCGCCTCGGCCAACATCATCCCCTCGTCCACCGGCGCGGCCAAGGCGGTCGCCAAGGCGTACCCCGTCATGAAGGGCAAGCTCACCGGCATGGCCTTCCGCGTGCCCACCGTCGACGTTTCCGTCGTCGACCTCACCTGCGAGCTCGAGACGCCCACCACGTACGACGAGATCAAGGCCGAGGTCAAGCTCGCGTCCGAGACGTACGCCAAGGGCATCGTCGGCTACACCGAGGACCAGGTCGTGTCGTCCGACTTCGTCGGCGAGACCTGCTCCACCGTCTTCGACGCCGGCGCCGGCATCATGCTCACGCCCACCTTCGTGAAGCTCGTCTCGTGGTACGACAACGAGTGGGGCTACTCCACCCGCCTCGTCGACCTGGTCGCGAACATGGCGGTCGCTGACGGCGTGTGCAAGAAGGAGGCGATGCTCGCGTAAGCCTCCGTGGCCGCGGCAGGCGCGCTCGCCGGGGGGAAAGGGTCCCTTTCTCCGCAGAACGCTGTGCTATACTCTCCCCCTGCGCGACGCGCGCATGCAGGGGTCCTGACGATTAGTGTTGTGCTGATTGATGTACCCGTGCTATAACATGTGAAAACACCACCATGCCGGCGTAACCGCCGTCGCCGGCTCGTATACCACTATACGGAGCGCGCCCCGGGCCCGGCGGTTGGGGCTTGGGCGCCGCCGCGCCGTGGCGGCCCGTGCGCGCCGGCATGCGGCAGGCGTTGTGCGGCACTGGCCACTGCCACTGGCCATTGCCGGTGCGGGTCCGGCGGTGCCGCACCCTGCGGGTGTTTTGGTACGGGTCGCGGGGGCCGGCTCGAGACGGCAGACGGGTCGCGCGCGCGGCGCGGGGGGGGCGGCTTTCGCCTTTCTCGTGTGCCGGTGCGGAGTGTGCGGCCCCGGTCCGCGGTCGTCGGAGTTGGCTTCGCGGTCTCGTGCGCAATGGTGAGCCTCCACGCTCCACCCCCGTTCTCTTTCAACACGCGCCGCGCCAGCGCGCGACCTGCACATGTTGTATCTCTCACGACTCGCGGCTTTCGCTCACCGCGGCGTCTGCCGCGGCCCACGCCGCGGCCTCGTCCTCGCCGCCCGCTCCCTGCTCGCCTACCGCCCCCCCGCCCGCTGCCGCGCCCTCGCCTGGAGCCTGCGCCTCGGGCCACGCGCCGTCGGCTGCAGCCTCTGCCCCCACATCCTCCTGCGTCACCGCCGGCTCCCCCCCCAGCTCGCCCGCCCGGTCGGCGACCTCCGCAGCCGCGTGCGCCTCCTCCGGTGCCGCCTGCGGCTCGGGCTCCGACGCTCCGGCTGCAGGGAGGGGCGCGCGCGGAGCCGCGTGCGACTCGGCGTGGGACGGCTCTGCTCCGCTCGGCATTCCCACGCCGCTGGCCACGTCCAGCGCCCACCTCCCGTCCAAGTCCGGCGGGGGAGCGTGCGCGGCGAGCGCCGCGTCGTGGCGCTGCTCCGCGGCACCGTCGCCGCCGAAGCCCTGGCCGCCGAACGACGCCTCGGCCGGCGGCGGCCACTGCTGCTGCTGCTGCTGCGGTTGATGCTGCTGCTGCTGCGGCGGCGGCTGCTGCGGCGGCGTCTGCTGCTGGGGCGTCTGGTAGTGGGGAGGGAACGAGCTCTGCTCCCGCAGCTGCTGCGGCGCGGCCTCGCCCCGCCCTTGGCCGGCTGGCGGGTGAACGCCGCCCGGGTGACCAGGCTGCATGCCTTGGTGCGGGTGGCCACTCCACTGGTGCACGCCCTGCTGCGGCGGGTAGATTGGCTGCTGCTGGCCGAACCCGCCGCCGTGCTGCTGCTGCTGCGGCTGCGGCTGCGGCTGCGGGTAGCCCTGCTCCGCGCCCTGCTGCGGAGGGTACGGGTGTGCCTGCTGCGGAGGGTAGGCGAGGCCCTGCCCAAACCCAGCCTGCGGTGGGAAGCCGTGCTGCCCGGCCGGCGGCTCCTCGTCCGCGATGGCCGAGGCGAGGGCGTCCTTGGCCGACCGGAAGGCGCCCAGCAGGCCGCTCGCGAGGCCAGAGTTGGCGAGGCCGGCGGGGCTCGAGCTGAGGCCAGGGCTCGCGAGGCCCGGCGCCTGCCCGAAGCCCGCCCGCGGAGCCTCTCCCGCAGCCGCTGCCCCAAGCCCGTGCTGCGCGGGCGAGGGCGGCGCCGTCATGCCGGGAGCGCCCCACCCGCCTGGCGGCAGCTGCTGCGGCGGCGGCGAGATGCCCTCGACCGACGGCTCCTCGGCTTGCACCGGCTCGGTTTGCACCTACAGCTCGCGCGGCTCTCGCCTCG